AGAATATTGAAATATAACATCCACTATATAGTTTGCCTTTATCGGCGGGGAGAACAACCACTTTTCTGCTGAAGTCTATGATGTATTTTAATTTAGAAAATTACACCTTCAAGCCCAGTTGCAGATAAACCATACTGTAGAACAAAAAGTGCCAATATACTCTGTTAGCCCAGTTAAAGTGCCCATATTCCTTTCAGGAACAAGAATGTCAACAGTAGAGGGTTATACTGGTGGACTCAGAGAGGACAGAAAAATGCATGCCCAGCAACATAAAAAGCATTTTCCATACATTGCTTAAATTAAAAGAAAACTAAGTGACAGAAGAAATGACAGGAGGAAGATTTCAGACTGATGCTTGCTTGTCTTTGGGAAGATCAGTTTATAAGCACAGCAAATTTACTATATTCTCAAGCAGACTGAATACCACTCCAAATCCAGATAGTTGCGGAAAAGCAAGCAGTCAACTCCAGAAATTTCACTTTCACAGTAGGACAATAATCCAAAAGCCTCAAGCTCAGAGGATAACATTCCACTACCCTCTTTTACCCTACAGCCAAAAATTGCAATAACTGAGATACAACAGATGCACCTATCATGCCAGTCAGAACAGTATACTGAGATGGCAGATTTAATGCTTTCTGAGTTCAGCTAATCCACAGAGTAGCTAAACAAATCTTAGATGAAGAGGGGTCCCTGAGTAAGAGAAATTAGTGTCTGTGTCTCAGAGGAAATACGGTCTCTGCTGTACTGCTAAGTTTCTGTCTCTTGGGCACGTTTCTAAATATTAAGTGACTAAACTACAGACAGGGACCAAATTCTCATTGTTCTTTTTAAGGCAGTTAAGCACTATGCAATGTGAAATGCTAGTATCTTTTGCACACTTTCAGATGCCTAAATACTTTCAAAAAATTTTGCTCATTTCCTGCACTGGCCACACTCCTATTTCCCATTTCTGATAATTCTTTCATACATGGCCAGCATGCCCTGAAGAAAAACATATTAATATGTGAAGGTTTCACCATCTTTCAGTAATGAGTCATCTGAGGTGGTAAGATAGGTAGGTGACAGTAAGCAGATGACAGGTGATAGAAAATAGGTAGGTGAGGTCTAGGATCAATGAAATGTCATAGCATATGTGAAAGTGAAGAAGTTGGCCGTGGTAGACAAACGGAGGAGGACATCCAGAGACCACTTTATCTTTAGACAGTGGAAAGTGTATCACTGGAGAGAGTTACTACTTAGTTTGTCAGTCACAGTCAGTCACTAAAAGCCCGTGCTTAATATTCAGTAAACTCCTAACACAGCCAGGGAAAGTTTATAATGCACAAAGCTAGTAACACCAGCTTTAAGGATGCTCAAAATGCTTCATAGGACTCTTCGGCTGATCTCTGGGAGTAACACGTCCTTACATAGACCCCAACTATCCTGCAGTGACCACTTTTGTCATTACTGTAGTTGAAAGCCTTGACTGTGATTTTAAGTGCTGACACAGTAATAAAAAATAAAATAAAAAAAAATTAAAAAAGCAACTCTGACTATCTCTGACTATGAGGCATGTGTGTCACTAGGAAATGAAATATTGATCACCCAGTTTTATAGGTTTGGATCTTGGTGCCTCAAAAGTCTGAGAAGTCTTACAGTTAGGGCTTGAAAATATGAGAGTGTGCTTAAAAACTGCAACCAATTAGAGAATAGCCAAGCCTATGGTTAAAGATAACGGAGAGTCAGCGTGTCTGGTTTCTAAAGAGAAAAATTTTGGAATAGTCAATACCAGATAGTAATGAAATAACCCTGAAATAACTAGAACTTGGTCAGGATCTCTTGTTGTGAGACAGGAATCAACCAACACCTTTAAGAGGCATGAAACAATTCCTATTCAGCTGATTTGCGAAAGCTTTCAGGAAACAAACAGGGTCTTCTGTTGCCTTTTAGACCTAGCAAATCCTCTGCAAGTGGATCTTTTGTATTGAGGTCTGCAGTATGAATTCATACTTTGCACTCAGCTTTTGGGGGGTTTTTGTTTGGATTTTTTTGGTGGTACATTCCGACTTTCTTCATTGTTAGTACCTAAACAGCTAGGGACACTATAACTAGTTTTACTTTCAGTGGAGTATAAGGCCATATGAGAGTCTGAATCACAAAGATTTAACGAAGGGCACGGAGGGGTATTTCTTCTTCCTAACGAATCAGCAAGAACTTGCTCTCCGTGAGACTTTAATCTTCCCCAGCTTTGAGCTTCCTCTGACTTCCTGTAGACAAAGGGACCAATCAAGAAATGCAAGCATAAGGGGAAGATGACTCCAGAACCCAAGGAGACAGTAATAATTAGAAAAATCTCAGGAAAGGAAGTAAGAACAGCAAAAATCCTCAGTCCTAGAGTGCGAATTTGGTTCATGTATTAGAAACTGTCTTATAGGGCGTAAAGATCAGGTCTGCATTGGAATGTTAGGCACTGGGAAGAGAAAAGCTTGAGAAAAGGCATTAGGAGATGAGGGGACACTGGAGATCTTTGAGACCAATAAGGGATTTCCACTGGGTTTTTTGTCCAAGTCCTCTCTGATCTTATTAACTTTCAACATCAGCAAGCAATGCTTGAGGCTGAGCTCACCAAAATCATGTATGTTCTCATTGCTTCAAGCAACTTAAACCATAATGATTGGGAACCTGGACTCCTTAGGGCAGCACAGAGGCAGAACAAGAACACTGGAAGCAATGAGAGAAAAGAAGGAATATCTAAGTAGGAGAGAGAAAGAAAGAGGCAAAAACCCTGAGAAGCACCTGGAAGCTTTTACAGCCTCCAACCTGAAGAAGGGCCTAATGCCACATGTGTATTAGCAACACCAAAAAACCAGTCCCTCAGCGCTGCCACAGCAGTGTCTGTACTTACAGATGCAATGCAGTGACAGCACACAGCACAGTCCCTGTTTACTCTGTCTGGGAACCAGAGAACTTGAGAGAAAAACAAAATCTTTGAAAAAATAATTACTTTTATATTCATTACAAGCAAACTCTCTATCTTCTGCACAATGAATAAGGCTGTAGACAGGTTCTTAAAGGTGAAAAAGGCAACTCATAACACAATCTCCACACTGTTAGATTCATTGCTGATAAAGTATTCTTTTTGTCACTTCAAACTTTATTCCTAAATGACTATATTAAAAATAAGATAATTACAATATATAATATTGCAAGTCAGAAGCTATTTTTTCCACAGCTTCCTATCCAAAATAGACTTAAATTAACAGAGAAGTTAATTGTTACTTGTACTCAAAGACCACATAATGCACTTAGAATATGAGGTTACACATAGCCTTAACTCGGGAAAGCAATTAAATCCATTCTTGTTTTCAGGAAAAGGGAAAGTCTTCCTGACTCAGGGCCTCTAAAGCAGAGGTATGACATATCCTATACATACCACTTGGGCAGACAGTAAAAATTTGACTGGTTTGTTCCACAAATTCTTGAACTCCACAGCAAGTCTTATTCAATATGTATTAAAAATAAGCCAGTTCAATTGAAAGTGCAGTTCTCCTTTAAGAGCCGAGTTGTCTCTACTTTCATATATCATTCTTGCAGCAAAACTGTCACAAGTTGAAACAGAAACATGACAACAGTACCTCACACTTTTTGGTAACTCAGAAAGTTCACACAAAATATTAGCACTCACCAAAAATAATATTCTGGTTTCTATAGTTATGAAAATGTTCTACTCATTCTGAAATGCTTCTGACATTTCTCATTATGAAATACATAGGTAGAGCAGCAGCACTGCAATTGTAAAATACCCTCATTCATTTCTACAAGCTATGAATTCAATGCTAATACCACTGGTATTTTAACATCAATATTATTTGCTAGCACATGGAACTCATGGACAAAGCATTATAAAACAGACAAGTAATTTTTGGATTCAATTAGTTAAACAAAAATTCTGAGATTCAAAAGCTGTTCTAGGTCACGGCCCTTCTCAGGACTGTATTTTTTCCTCCCAGGATTTATTTAAAACTGGATCCAGTCAAATTATTAAAAAAAATACACAATGAAGCATCTGACACTTCCCCTGGGAGACCTTTCCATAGCCAACAAGTTGTTGTTTTTCCCCCGAGTTGAATTTTAATGTAATTTCATCCCATTGCCCATTCTCATGGATGCAAGGAAAAAGAGTGTCCAGGGAAGGCAACAGGGGAAAAAAACAAATAATTGCTAAACTACACTGAAAAAGTGTATAAAAGCAATTCAGCTGTGAATTGTGTTGATGAAAGGGGAACCATGAAGGTAACGGTTAACTTAAATCAGAAAGCAGCTTCCCAGCTTTCCCTTCTCCACCAGCATGGAAGAGTCAGAGATGTAGGTGGATGGCTCCTAAGAAAAAAAAACAGTATGAAAAAACGCTTGGGTTATCATTCCATAAATACACCTTTGGGAAAAGAAATAAAGTTTTTGTAGAATTGCTTAACTTCCTACTTCCCAGAGTAGGAAGAAAAGCACTTTGAAAGTTATTATTACAGTCTTGAAAAGGTATCAGCCATGATATCTTCCCACTTCTTCTCATAAACAAATGAAACTACCATACTACACAGCACTACCATAGTTTAACAGAAACATTGTACAGTCTATTGCCCTGTTCATGAGAACACCCAATGAAAGAAGTTGCCAAGGGAGATATCATAAAATATCTGATTTTGTCTATATGGATTTTTCTTACCTTACAACTTATAAATAGTATCTTGCTGCTTATTTAACACATCCTACAGCTAAAGAATATATTTGCTTTTTTTAATTCCTTCACCTTCTCCACTGCTAGCAAGAATTGGTGAAAAGGCAGTTTAGAGAATTAGTGCAGGATGTGTATGCAGACAGCTATTTTGAAAACATCATAAACACAAAACATTATAAACACAAAACTCCTGGAAGGTATCATACAAAAAGAGACAAGAGAAAGCATTTCACAGTCATCACTAGTGTCAGCCACAGAAGCAAACATTTGTCATCTAAAAGGTATACATTTTGTAATGTAAAAGCCCAAATCAGTACTTAAAAGAAAATAACAGATACCCTCCAGGAAATATCTAGTCCTAACTGCTGTCAACAGAGAGACTCCTAAGTAACATCAGAGGGAAGCAGATGTGAATTTGATCCCTGTCCTTCTTCAGAACCTCAGAATAAAAAAAAAAGGCATGGTGGTGGCCAGCAACAGCTATACACTAAAGGCCCAATTCATTTAGAAAAGAAAGCATAAATAATTTGTTAATCAATAAAACAAAGACTAAACGAGCTTGAAGGATTTCATGTGTCCTCATCTGCAACTTCCTTTCGGCGCTGGGCCCGGAAATGGCGCTCAATATTTATTGTCACTTCCCTCTGCAAATTTCTACTATTAGTTTTTCCAGCTGTTCTGATCCAAGGGTGCTGAAGTACTTGTCGTGCTGTGTAGCGCTTCTGGGGATCCACTATCAACAGCCTGGTTATGAGGTCTTTAGCTGCTATTATGAAAGAAAGAAAAGGAGAGAGGGGAAAAGAACAGTGATGTCATGATGCTGACAGTTATACCTACACAAAACATCCTTCTTGTTTTTTCTTATTAGCTTTACCATAATGACTTTTGTGACTATCCCCAGGAGATATGGGGTCCAGACAACTGGATTTAGAACTGGTGACAGGAGAGGTTAAATCTCCAGCATATCTTGTATTGGTATCATTCTCCCCTTTAGAAAGAGAGGAGAAAATGAAGGGAATTTAATCATGAAAGCATGCTGAAGGCATCAGGCTAGGTGTTCAGATTCACAGGAATTAGCATTGGGTATCTCATCCCTCAAGGAACATAAGAGTCGTAGAACGCTGTTGAGCATGTTCTTTAAAAGACTGTATAGGGAGAGGGGGTTCAGGGTTTCTGATTTTGAAGAGTGCACAAAAGACACTATACTAGCCTGCGAGAAGGAAAAAACTACTATGTGCAGACCCCATTGGTCTCAATAGAAAATCCACACTGCATTCTGCAGAGCAAGGATTTCATTCTCAGCTTTTAAGATTTTTTGTGTACATCTTTGCAATCTAACATAACCCTGGAGATTATTTTGGTACCTTTTTCTAGAAAGACAATTCATACAAGCAAGGTGAGGAAAATCCTTGCTCTTGCCTCAGAAAGGGAGCAATCCATTAAATCAGTCAGACCTAATGTACAGATTCACAGCCACCGATACTACCAGAGGACTAAATTCACATTTAGAGAAAACACAGGATCACACAAAAGAGACCTTTAAGACACCCCCAAGTTCATTGAGCTCACTGTCCTGAACAACAGGGAGTTCTTCCCACTCTGGGGAAGAAGTCTGGCACTTCTCAGATCTGCTATACATGCCAAATCTTACCTGCAGAAATATTGTCCCAGTATGGGGAAAGGAACTCATAGTGACCCAGCTGTATGATCTGAAACAGCTCTTCTTGATCACGTTCCTGACTGCGAAAAGGAGGAAAACCGCAGAGCAGAATGTAAAGGATCACACCAGCTGCCCACATATCTACTTCGAGCCCATAGCCTAAAGAAGAAAAGACAAACCAAAAGTCCTGTTTTAGAAAGAAAACTCACAACTGGTAGGGAACTGTTTCTTTTTCATTCTATTTTCTAAGAAACAGAGATGCTCTGCTCAGTTTCTCAAAAAGAGGAGCTCAGCAGAAGAATAAGTGGCTGGTACACCCCACTTACAAAATGAGCTGCTCTGCCTGTTAATAACTACAGCTCTCACAAAGTGCCTCTCTTCTTCAACATGTTGCACAAACACTGTCTCACAAGGCCAGTGTCAACTGGAGACTAATTGAGAAAACACAGCATATATTTCTAAAATAGTCCTCCTCAGATTCCCTTCAAAAAAAGCACTAAGAGAGTGCCAAGTTTCCATTGAAATTGGATATAGCTGGAGCTTTGCAACCCAGCTCCACAGAACAAAAACCAGAAATAGCTTTGCTTGAGTCATCAACAAAACTGACTCCTTTTCAGGTCTGAATCTTTTTTGGATATGAAAACTCAAAAATTTCTCCTGATGTGAAACACATTTTGTCTTGTTACATAAGTTTAACATACATGTTCATAATATTTTTGCATCATTAGGGGCCTTGGAAAGTTGTCTGTGTTACAGTCAAGAAACGGGGCTGACTACCCTCAGGTTGCAACATGAACTTTTGCTCATTTCCCCACTTCAGCAATTACCATCTATGATATTTTATGGCTTGTCTGCTTGGAAATCAGTATTATATTACCATAGACATGAATAATGCAAACATGACTGATGTCATGCTTGTGTTTGTGAAAAGCTGAAAGGTTTCCTTTCCTTTCCTTTCACAGATTACAGTGCTAGCCAAATTCCTACCCTGCAAAGACATATCAATAGTTTGAAACATTCTTGAATATTTCCATGATTAGAAAGTTCAGAGTATATGATTTACAATAAATTATAAATATATACACTCACCCTTCTCAGCAAGTATTTCAGGGGCAACATACGTTGGTGTTCCGCACACAGTAAATATGGGTTTTGTAACCTGCTTTGCAAGGCCAAAATCTGCTAGCTTCAGTGTAGTAGATTTATCAGCATTATGCTGAACCTATACTCAACAAAAAATACATATATTTAGTCCAGATGCATTTTAAGACAGCAAAAGATAAAGGAAGCAGTAATAAGCAGGAAGAAGTTCTAATAATAGTGCCTTCAAGTAAAGCAATATGAAATGGAAACAGTATTTTGATAAACAGTATTCAGAAAGTGTTTTTCCCCCCCATATACTAAGAGGGTGCGTATGTTTAAGAGGACAAGCAATAATGGAAAAAGAAAACTTTGCTCTACAAACTCTGGCACACTGTAATTGCCAAGAAACGAAAAGGAAGACGACAAAAAATATCCAAGAGCCAATTAAGTGTTATTATTTCCTCTTGGGAAAGTAAACTCTTCCCCTGGGAAAGCAAAGAATGGTGTGGGCATCTATGCTTAAATGTAATATTCCTAGTTAAGCTACTGACTGTACAGAGTCACTTGAAAAGCATATCTCCACCATACCAGTCTAACAAAAAACCCCAAAAAAACCCCACATACCCAAACAAACAAACAAAACCTTTACTTTCTTTGCAAATTACTCTGCTATTCTACCTGCTGCCCTGAAAAATTTAAATAAGTCCCAGTCATCACATAGTAAGAGCTGCAGAAATGGATCCATGCAGAATGTCCTCCTAAATGGCTCTTTTCAGCAGTTCCCATCTCCTATAACCACTGGAAAGTAATCAAAACACTTCTTCCCATTCTACTTTTGTATGCACAGGTCTTTAGCATTAATCTGTAATGCAGTTAATGAAACATTCTTTTAAGAAACAAAATATGGCAATGACACAGACAGTGGGATCAAGTGCACCCTCAGCAAGTTTGCAGACGACACCAAGCTGAGTGGTGTGGTTGACATGCCTGAGGGATAGGATGCTATTCAGAGGGAACCTGGACAGGCTCAAGAAGTGGGCCCATGTGAACCTCATGAGGTTCAACAAGGCCAAGTGCTAGGTCCTATGCCAGGGTCAGGGCAACCCCTGGTACCAATACAGGCTGTGGGATGAAGGGATTGAGAGCAGCCCTGTGGAGAAGGACTTGGGGGTACTGGTGGATGAAAAGCTGGACAGGAGCTGGCAACGTGTGCTCACGGCCCAGAAAGCCAGCCATACCCTGGGCTGCATCAAAAGCAGCGTGGCCAGCAGGTCGAGGGAGGTGATTCTGCCCCTCTGCTCTGCTCTGGTGAGACCCCACCTGGAGTACTGCGTCCAGCTCTGGGGCCCTCAGCACAAGAAGGACATGGACCTGTTGGAGCAGGTCCAGAGGAGGGCCACAAAAATGATCCAAGGGCTGGAGCACCTCTCCTACAAGGCCAGGCTGGGAGAGTTGAGGTTATTCAGCCTGGAGAAGAGAAGGCTCCAGACAGACCTTATTGCAGCCTTTCAATACTTAAAGTGGGCTTATAAGATGGGGACAGACTTTTTAGTAGGGCCTGTAGCAATAGGCTAAGGGGTAATGGCTTTAGACTAAAAGAGGGTCGATTCAGACTAGATATAAGGAAGACATTTTTTACAATGAAGGTGGTAAAACACTGGAACGGGTTGCCCAGGGAGGCAGTAGATGCCCCATCCCCAGAAATGTTCAAGGTCAGGTTGGATGGGGCTCTGAGCAACCTGATCTAGTTGAAGATGTCCCTGCTCATTGCAGGGGGGTTGGACTAGATGACATTTAAAGGTCCCTTCCAACCCAAACTATTCTATGATTCTATATTCAAAGACCAAGTTATGAAGAATGTAGCGGTATAATTAAACGCATCAGTATTCTTAATACTGGTGGCTGAAATTCAAATATTCTTTAGGAGGTAAAAAATGTCATGAATTTGCTTTAAATGAAAAATGGCCTGTTTCTGGAACTGTAGAGAACATATCAGCAGCTAAAATGTCTACAAGAAAGTCAAGGAAATCTAGACTCTGTTTTTGAATAGACAAACTGGAGTATAATGCGACAGGTATACTCCATGGTTTAACACCTCATACTTTGTCATGAGACAGGGCTTGAGAAAGCCAAAAATTCAAGATGGTCTCTATTGCAAGACAACTAAGGGCACAGACGGGACAAAACTTGCTCTTCTACATTACATTACAGCTGACTAGTACCTATTTATCATCTTTATTAAAATTCTAAGCACTCATCCGATTTTGATTAAGCAAAAAGTTTTGGGTGTTGGTTTTTTTTGTTGGGTTTTTTTTAAGAAAAAATATTACATTACAAAGTAATACATTATAGCTTACTAATACCTTTTTATCTTCTTCATAGAAAATATAAGCACTCTTCTAGTTTTGATTAAGCAAAACATGTTGGGGTTTTTTTGCAGTATGAAACCAAAAATAAATTTTACTACAACCATTCAGTCAAAACTTCTGCAGGAGAAAGATAAAATGCCATAGCCATTTTCTCTATTACATTAGTCATCTTCATGATGATTTTTTGACATGATGCACTGTGGACACAACAGCTGACAAAAATGAAAAATAAATTACAAAGGTAACAGTTACTTTCTAGAGCAGAACCTGTCCACAGGATTTATATTCTAATAATAGGGGTAATAGTGGTAGAATGCTACAAAAACTCACAATTGAAATGCTCAATTTTATATGTGCTATGAAAATATGAGCATGAATATATTTTCCTACTGTATAAATAAAGCTTTTAAAATTATATGAGAAAGTTATGTCACGTGGAATTTCAACTAACACCCTGCATGTTACTGTAATAAGACAAATAATACTGAAATGTTTATATAAATTTTTAGAAACCAGCAGGGGGGTGGGGAGAGTGGAGAACACACTGGTCTTAATCCTAATCGCGAAATCAGCAGGAGATGTCTTGCTTCGTAAAATACACTGTTGTACTTTTTATCAGGATGCCAGACTCCTAATCTCTTATCACAGCACAAGGTGGCAACACTGCACCATCTGTTCTTCCAGGACAAAACCACTGAGTTTTCATTTTACTTAACAACCGAACGTGTAGGAACAGCATGCACCATGGGTATATTTTCACAGGTTTGTGACAATCATTTCAAAGACAGCATGTATCCTGTCAGCATGCTTGAAAACCTCAGCCCAGAACTCCTCAGCATCTTCACTAACACTACGCTCAGAACAACTCAAAGTCAGCTCAGGCAGAGCGAGCATTCCCTTCATCCCCAACTTTGTACTCTCCAGTCTACCCTTCCATCACCTGGCACCACCTTGAGCATGCAAATATGCTTCACTGTAGAAACAAAAGCTTCTCAGGTTGCTTTTATTCCTTCCTGAAGCCAGACTACTTACTCATAGCAGTATCACAGACATGTACAACCTGCTCAAGAGAAATCTAGCCTCTGACATCTACAGTATGTGCTCTGTGAAATGGTAAGAACAAAGCAAAAATGGTAACATTAGATGAACATACTAGCCTTACTGTGACACCTAAAAGACAGCTGTTACTGTTTCTGCATTCAAGACTACAAAGAATGGCTCCAAAAGTCCATTTAAAAGTGCTGCCTTGTCTTACCTGCCTATAGAGTTAATTGAGATAAGGAAGACCAGTATTCAGTACACTTTCTACAGACAGACAATTTAGGTCATACAACTACTTGTGTCCTTCATCTGCAAGGGAAGCCAGCATCCGGTAGTCTTCAACTAAAGGCAGCCAGAATTGCTCACTACTCTCTCAAACGCAGATGCCATAGCAAGATATTAGAATATTGTCTGAGGATTTTTAGCTACCCCAGCCATATACCCAGAAGATTATAATACACTAATACAAAGCCAAGTTCATCTTCAAAACAGAGATAAATTGATCTTTTCCTTTTCTCCTGTCTGTTGATGACTCCCAGCTCTTCATGCTCTTGCCTGTTTTCATATCTACCTTGTGAAATCCATCAGGGTGTTTAAGAAGATCGTTTATAGCATTAATATTTCTCTGTATGCACATATATATGGTAGCACAGATTCTTCATATAAACATCATGAAAGCAAGCTAGCCCATGGGACATTTTGTATATTAGAAATAGAGCTAAAAAGCACCGCTTACACATTTGAGCTTCAGACATCCCTTGCTGCTAGCTAGCTAGCAGAATCTCTACAAAAAATCTTACAGAAAATTCCCTGTGTAGGTTTATCATACCAAAAGCTCTTGACAGGTAACTGGTTAAACAGGATTTTAACTCAAATGCACTCGGAAACCTCTGACAGTGCTTTGTGTATAGGTAAATAGTGTCACAAAAGCAAAGTTAAAGGACAGAAAGGTTATACTTGAAGTTCTCATACCTGTATGAAAACTTGAGAGAGAAAAAGAGAGGGAAAAAAGGAAAAAACCTGAAACCCTTAAAAAGCTATAACACTTATATTATTTATAAAGCTGAGTGTTAAGCAATTACCACATTAGCATGTTTGGGAAGTGTACAAGGAAATGAGTTTACAATCACAAATACATACACACACAAGAGGGCAATGATATGGCTTTGGGTCTTTTACAGCTGTAACCTGGAAAAACAGCACCACACTTTGAAATTAATTTCTCTACCCACAAGTCGAGAAATGCCAGCACCTGTAGAATTAAAACAGGCCCTTACCTAAAAACCTTGCCAGCAAATTCTGCTCCTCCGGGTAGCATTAAAGAAGTGACTGGCTTCTTTTGTGGGACCAAATATACTACATTGCTCATCCTTGGTAGCACAGGTTTTCTTGCTGAACACCTAGTCCTAAATGAGGTGATTCTGTTAGCAGATGGGAGGGAGTCGGAGCATCTGTCTTCAGCTATCAAACAGATTATGTTTTTGCAGCGCAAGTCACCACCCTTCTGCCTCACAGCTGTGCTACAAGGAGTCTGATCATTGCGGGCAGACGCAGTAGTGAAAGAGGGAGGGGGAAAACAAAACAGGATGATGGTGGACTGTTACAGAAGTTTATTACTAGAGGACAGTTCCACAAGAGAAACAGTAGTGCAGTGAACTAATAATTAAACCCATTTTCCAACTGTCTCCTGTGTCACTAATTTTGCAATTCACTAGACATCGAAGTGTATTTCCACCTTTTCCTCTGCAGGGACAGAAATGGTTTCTCTTCTTTCCTCAGCTGCTTATTTTCATGAAACTTATGGAAATATTTTTTCCGCAGTTTGCTGCTTCTCTGTCAGCTCTGATGGAAATTAGCCAGTAGGTTCAGAAGTCACTAGGAGCAGGGTTAGATTCTCACACAAAGCAGGTTTACAGTAGACAAACATATTTCCTTAGTAAAACAGACTAAGGATCTTCTCCATTCCCCATTTGCTGGAAAGGGTTAGGAAGTATGGAAAAACAACTGACAAGAAAAGACAGGGTTCACCTGACCAAAAGGCGATGCCAAAGTAGAACAAACAAGTAAACAGACTAAAAGTAGGTACTCATTTTTGTTCTCTGTGTACAAAGAAAGTCTAGGGAGACTTAATTCAGACTTCAACATCCATGGTGTAGGAATCTGAAGCAAGAGGTATCCCACAACCAAGGACATCCCTGCAGGATGCCAGCACTTCCAGCACTGTGCTTCCTCTCCAGAAGGCTGTCCCCGCCCTCTGACCCACCAACAGCAGATGAACCCATGAAATTTGCTTCAATACTCTTTGTAATCGTTCAGCACCAACTGACATTAAAATTAGTGGCAGTTCCCCTTCCTGCTCTGCTGCTACTGCTCCAGTTGCTCTGAAGAGTCAAAGGTAGCACATTAAAAAGTCAGAAAAGCCAGAAACTTGTTCAAATGTCCTGTATTTATAGGGATGCTTATCAGATAGCATCGTGAGCAATCCAACACTATCAAGAGCTTATAAACTCGTTTAGCTGTTGAACCAACTAGCTTTTCAAAAGGATGCTTTATGTAAATGATATAAATACAGGTGTTCACGGCCAATTAGCAGCAAGGTGAAACTGGAAGAGGTACAATTTTCTTTCACATAGTTTTTGGGTAACACTGTTCTCATATGACAAAATACCTACAGGCTGGGTGCCAGTCTGTCCTTGAAAAATATTTTCTGTCAGAGTGGGCAACATGATTATTTCAGTGCTACAAAACTTTGCCACTGCCCAGCAATCTCTGCTTTGCAGTGCTGTGAACTAAATGTGAAAACAACCAGAACGGACCTGTACCATGCTTCTTTGCTTACCTGCACCACTGTGATGATTACGTATTATAGAGGGAAATGAAGCATCTGGTCTCAAGTGTTTCACATGCACTAGCTTATTTTCAGCAAATAGGAAGGAGCAGAGCCTGGTTCATCATGGAAAATCAGCTTCTGGAAGAAAGCCCTGCAGTTCTAAGTGAGGTTTTGTTCTAATGGCAAAACGAGGCATGAAGGCAGGGCCCAGATGCATACTTCTTGCAAACCAGCCACTTGCACTCACCATCTTTTATTTATGCACAGATCACATATCAAGGATTTTCATCAGATTAAGCAGGATGCATAGCAGGACCTAGTATAGATGCTATTGGTTAGTCAAAAGATTTAGGAGCAAACCTTTCAGGCCCAGCCTTGTTCAACCTCCGCATGTCCTACAGGCTACACTGCTGCTTTTCTCCAGAAATTCACACCGATTTCTTCCCAAAATTAATTCTCTTAAAGAACTGAATGGCACACAGGACTAAATCATCTGCTACCTTTTTTTCTGGCTAACTACCATCTTCCACAAGCAGATCAAATCCAATTTGTTGCAGACTGGCACGTATTTGGTATCTATGTATCAGCAAATTTGGAACCCTAGTACAAGAGTGTAACACACGATTAGCAAGGAAGAGTTGCTTACTGTTACTATTCTACAATGGGTGTCTTGTCAAGTGTCAATACTGCAAACATTTCTATGCACATTCACACATGTGAGTAATTCTATTGACTTCAGTGCTGGATGCAAAGAATGTAGCCTCAGAAATGTGGTGGAAAAAAGAACTTTTCTCTTTGGCATGAAGTTAGTATTTGAGCTGAGTTTAGTGCTGCATTTCACCAAAACACTCACAGTTTTCTGTCAGATTATTTCAACCAACTGCATCGTACTTTTGCTCCTAAGAAAATAAATAGTCACAAGAGAGAAATCACTACAGTAGAGGACTAGCATAGCAGTCTGCAGGATATGTGACTACAGTGGACAAAAAGTCCACAGAATAAATAAGCTAAATTAGCATTTTAATAAATTTTGGTCTACAAGGAAAACACCTTATGATTCAGTGCGTGCTTCATGAAAAAAAAAAAAAAATTACCTTTGCATACCTAAAAGTGAGATGCTAAGTAACAGGCCTGATTTCCAGAGATATACAAATGCTCACTGCCCCTGAAAGCTAGGTCATTTTTATTTGAATTTCTATCTGCAATGTACAGCAGATCTACGTGAAGTAAACTATAATGGTAATTTCACTTCAAAATTGTACTCATTTTTCCAAACAGTCCTGCTACAGCACATTATCTCTGCACAGTATTTGCTTAAAAATACTCAAAGATCCATAACTAAAAGGAAAATAAATTCAACTCCTGCACACATGCAATGTGTTTCCAGTACTTACCAAAAGATTCTCTGGTTTGAGGTCCCTGTGGACAATGTTCTTGCTGTGAATATAAACCAGTGCTTCACACAGGTCAGTGATCATGACAGCAGCATCATGCTCTGTGAACTTCACGCTTTCTATGATTGCATCAAATAAGTCCCCTCCTGGGACATACTCCAGGATTAGGTAGATCTCAGCTTCTGTCTCATACACTTCAATTAAGCTTACTATATTGGGATGAGAAAGACTCCTAATGATCAGAATTTCACTTTCCATCATGTCCTCTTTCCCCTTCAGCTTGGATTTATCAACAATTTTCATGGCATAGATCTGATTGGAGTCGCAGTGGCGACATTCCTTCACCACTGCAAAGTTCCCATCCCCAATAGTTCTGCCGATCTCATACTGTTTTTCCACATCAGTTCTGTTTTTAATGGCATGCCTCCGGCTTGCGTTTTCCAATCCCTGAGCCTTGTTTTCTTCTTTATTCACTCTGCGCTCCCCTGTTTTTTCTCGTCGTGTCATGTCACTCTCTCTACGCATGATATTCCCCTCTCTTCTGGCACCCTCCTCTTTAGCCCTTTGTCCTTCTCTACCCTCCCTATGTGTTTTAGATGGTTTCTCAGCATCCCTCGGAGTGTCCTTCTTTAGCCAACCACTTTGATTCATTACGCAGCTACTTCCACTCTCTTCCTTCGCTTCATGAGTTAGCTGCAGCCCTTCTACAGCATTCTTCTTGACTTTTACTACTTCCTTCCCACGGCTTTCACGTTTCCCCACATCCCTTTCCTTCTCAATGCTCCTTTTTTGCTTCTCCAGCCCTTCATTAACATTCCTATGTAGGGGCTTCCATGTCCTCCTACAGCCATTATCTTTCCAACCAACTTCTGCTTCCAGACAAGTTTCTGAAGATTTTCGGCAATTCCCGAGTTTTGCATTTCTTTCTACATGGTACCTCTGACATGCACCTGTGTTCAGGTCTCTGTTCTCAAATGAGGCCTCAGCCCGCCTTTGCCTTTGTAACTTTTCTCTGGCCTGCCTTTCCCGTTCCCGTTCACACTTCTCACACCTCACCACCTCTTCTGAACTCTCTTCTAATCCCTCCTCAAGACTCCTCTCGTGGTTAAGGTACCTCTCGCTTTCTCGGGTTTTTCTAGAAGGCTTCACTCCTTGTTCACCACCCCAGCTCTCTCTAGTCCACTTTTTTTTGGTTCTCATTTTTTCTTCTTGCTTTGTCTTGGCTTGACATTTTCCTTCATGTCCAGCTACCAGTTTGGGAGACACGCCATCACTGCAGTTCTTGGTAATTTCTGTCTCATCAAAGCCACTGTCCACTTTTGAAGCCTTGTCATACAGCCTGCTCTTCAATTTTTGGGACTGCTCCTCGTTCTGCTGAATGGCAGCAGTGGCAGCATAAGGATTTTCAGGATAAAGTTCTTGTAATACCACTTCCATGTTCTTCAAAGTGAGGGGCTCCCTCCCCATAGCTATGAATGCATCGCCTTCCCTGAAGAAGTCAGAAACACTTCGGATTTCTCTGCCTCTCAGATTGTAAAGCTTTCTCACACGGTCATTCTTCCAGCGTGGAAATCCCAGAGCTTCTGAAATGTCAGCCATCAGCTGTTCAAAGGTCTGAACTGATCTCCTGTTGAGAAGCAAGGTTATCCTTCTAAGTGTGTGTCCACCAGGTTTCACCACTGTAATAATCCTTGGCTTCACAGGACTGTGCTCTGAATGTATCGTGTGAAAACCGTTACGGGGATTAAAAAATGGGGACCTATGACTGCTTTCACTCAAACATGGTTTTCCATAGTTTCCACGACCAACAGGAGGACAAGTCCCTTGTAGTTTCCTCTCTTTTACTTTTGAGCTTGTATTGTGTGACGAATGCTCAAACAAGCCTCGGCGTCCTAAAGCAAAGAAAGAGTAGGCCTATTATTCATTTTGCATCATCAGAACTTTCTGAGTAATATACCTATCAGTATATGTGACCTCAGAGAGTAAGGGTACATGCATTCAATGCTTATAAAGAACTTCAACTGCCACTAAGGGGTAACTCCACATACATGCATCTACAAACATTTTCAAGTTTGTGAGAAAATGTAAATGCACCTTGTGACAAAGAAATGCTATTAAAAAAAAAATAACATTGGAAACAAATAAATCCTTCTTCTAAACCCTCCCATCTTCCAGAAATCCTAAAAAAATGGGGTTACTTGTGCCAGGACTGCATCCAGGTTGTTTAGCATCCTCTTATGAATCTACCTACCATGAACTAACTCAATTCCTTTCTGAACCCAATTACAATTTTGGCCTCTGTAAACCCTGTGGCAACAAGTTCCACAATTACATTGCATGAAGTAAAAGAAATTAATTACTTCTTTCTTAAAATTACTACCAGATGGCTATGTGTGTGTAACCTTATATTCTTATAAATAATTATCTCCTCTTCACTTTCCCTGGACCGTTCATTTTATTTCTAGACTTCTATAACAAATTAAGTAAATGAGTTTCTTTTTAAAAAGTATTACTTTTGCTATAATTTTTACAGAAATTTTATAGTACATTTTATAGTAATGTAACAATTTTTTTTTTCTCTTAAAGAAAGGCCATCTTAGGTTTTTTTGGTAATTGGAGTCCTAGTTTTCCAATATTTTGTTTTGACGTTTTCATTCTAAAAATCATGTAAAATCACACAAAGTCCTGAATATCCTCTAGGGACATTAACAATTTTCCCTCTGATACTTCATCTTAGAACACCACCCAAAGAAAACAGCACCATTCATAACGTGTAATTCTGAAAAGGAAGAACTGAAAACATAACACATGGTTATGGACAAGCCAAGCTATAACATAATTCACTGTCTATAAACACAACAATAAGCTAAGAATAAAAATGGCCCCTTAAAGTACTGTGATTTCTTGTACTTATTAAAACTTGATTACAATGCAATTCTTTTTAGCCTTAAGAAATAAACTTTCAGAATGAGATCACAGAGTACTTCCAACTCCATTTAATAGTCTTGTGGTTCAGTTGGGAACAAACATTCAATATGTATGAACTAACAGGACCAAGCCAAAAGAAAGCAGCCAGAATGATAACTGAACCATTACAAGGAAATTCCCATACACAGATGGCCTATCTCCCAGAAAAGCCCACCCATTTTCATACATTACATAGTCACAGCGCAGTGGGCAAATCCACCAAGGAAAATCTGCACATACGAGCATTCCTCTTGGTGCTAGGGCTAATAGATGCATATTCAAGAGTTCTGGCAAGCTTAAACCTACTACTACTTTTCAATTGCCAAAAAGCCATTTTCAGTATTGCAAGCTATGTGTTTTTATTTGTCCTTTTCATCAAGGCATAACAGAGTGAAGAGGAAACATGCCTCCTCACCTATAATAACAAACAAAAGAGAAAACTACAAGAAGTGTTGCAGCATTCACTCGCTCTGCCTCAAAAATAGTGGATCCAAAATGCCAGGAGTTGAGTGGGGAAAGCACACGAGGAGACACTGCTACAGAGCTCCACTCTGCTGTTGGCTTTGTTGGATGTACGGTGATGGACACTTCTTAGTTGCAATACTCTCACCAGCTGAATGCTGTGTGCCCCCAGCACGACCCTTAACTAACTCTCTGCCTCATTTTCTTCCTCTGCCAAATGAGATAGACACTTCTTCTCCAGATAAATATTGCAAAGAAGCCTAGTTGCCAGCATGCTGATTGAAGACGTAAGCATTATATAAGAGCTACGTGTGACTAATGCTTGGTGGTTGTACAAGTTATTTCTGTCTTCATTCTACTTGATCTCTTGTTATCAAAAGATGACTACATGTGTGCTAGTGATTTTTCAGCAATCAGATATTTACATTCCACCTAGAATAAAGCCTACTGTGAATGGGGGGAGAAAAAAAAAAATTCAGATGTAATAATAGTTCTCCGAAATCTAAATCAACCCCAGAACATGTTGGTTACCAGGAACTGTCGAAGCTCTGAATTTAATCAACATTTCCAGATTCTTGCGTACCCACTGTCATCAAAGCATTGCCTTGCTTATGGGAACAGCGCATGACATTTTTACTGCTTATAATCTTGGTACAACATAAAAACAATGCTGCACTAATAATGACTTTTCCCACAGATTACATTTCTCCCAGCTATGCTGCTATTATCACACCTTTCTATAAACCATTCATTTTAAGTGCCTGGCTGCACTGTTGATTGTTTCAATTATCCAAACATCAATTATGTTTCCTTTCTTCACTAAATCGGCTAAGCTTTAAATAGAAACCAAGTTTATTTTTTAATTCTATGACTAATTTTTTTTAGCGGTTTGGTGTAATTACTAAGAACAATCCAGGAATGTATTTTTGTGCTTTTTAAACTGGCTTAATTCCTAGTCAAAAACAGTTTGACACAAGCCACAAGTTAATATATAATCATTTTAGGAATAATATTGCATATTTTTCTAAGAAAAAGGAAGTTATATGAATGCTTAAATCAATGCATAAAGGGATCTCTTAATGTTTTCTGAAAAAAGGGGAAGAGTCAAATTTTGTCAAAGTGGTGGTCACAATGACTAATCCATATAACACATAAACTAAAAAAAAAAAAATCAATTTCAATAGCCTGTTACAACTATTTCAGTCATAATTTCTGATATTTTCCAGTTATGCTATATTTATTTTAACTGACACACATTAAGCAAGCCTCAATCTGTCAGGAAAGTGCATGCACTTAAAGCGGCAACAAGCATTTCTAGAAAGCCTTCAAAGGTTACACACATACACAAATCCTATAGCTACACTTTATATTGCTTCAAATCTTGTTTCCATATTTACATACAAGTGGGAGAGGGAGGAAGAGGGAGGTGGGATCAGAAACACATTTCAATGAGCCTCAGTACTGGCAAATTATACATCAGAGAATAAAATGTGTTTTCTTTTACTGTCTTACTGAGAGCTAATGGTTATCAAACACACATATTTCTTATAATGTTAATATGGATAGATGCATGTATGCATCTGTCTATTTTTATCCGTATACACATCTATCTATATATGCTTGTGTATCACCAAGTATTAACACATAGGATGATGCAAAAGATTAAGAGGACAGAAAACCACAGGGGAGCAGCATGGCCGAGGAGGCTGCCAAGGGCTGTTGCTGTGGAAGGGCAGGGGTAAGGCAGCACGGCTGGTCATGGGCACCATGTGTGCCACCTAAGCTGCACATGTGGGCACAGAGAAAAGAAAACTGGGACTTGCAGAGCAATACAGAGCTTCAGATGATGAAGACATGATGGTCTTGTAGGATAAACGATCACACTAAATCCCTAGAGAAGCAAGGAGGATGGACAAACAGGGATTTGGGGGCTGGAACAGGTAGCAGGACCAAGAAGTTTAGCACCTACTGACCAGAGCACAAGTGCTCCCTGGAGAGAAAATGGTTGCTGCAGGGAGCACAGCTTCTGTGGTTTATTTTTAAAAGCCAATTCACAGACCATTTGTGATAGTCACAGTCAATCCCACTGGGGCTGGGGGAAGGCATGGTAGGAGGAAACACAAAAATTCCTCTAGAAGACCTTTCCTTGTAGGTTTTTGGCTCATCCTGTGGACCTGGAGTAAAATAAGGTGAATTCAGAAGACTTAAGCTCCGAATAAGGTGTGTATGCAGAGCTTCAATCAACCCATACCTTAAGGAAATGCCTGGCAACACCCCCTACAACAGCAGAGTAATGGGGTTTGCCAGAGTTCACCTATTCTTGCAATTAAAAATGTATTGCTGCCATCTGTCCTTCAAAACTTATGCCTTCCCTTGACCAGTCTGTAAGTTTTTGTTCATTAATTAAAGTATTTCCGCTCATCTTGCATTCCTTCTTGGCTCTCCTGCTTGAGATCACAGTTTCAGTAATTAACTGAATGGTTTACCCAGCAGCTAATTCTGCTATCAAGTCACAGGTTGCAGTGGAATTAAATTTTTACAAGGAGTATTACAACACAATTTAAAACAGAAGGCAACACTGAAATAGGATCTAGTCATGGCATTGCTTTCTGTGAATAAGATGGTGTTATTTAAGCCCTGAAATTTCTTTAGAGGGCCTTTGATCAATATGAAAGACTCTACTTACAAAAGCAGCCATGAGAGCTCCCCAAAACATTAGCAGCATTCTTCACGCAAGTAAAGTTGCACATGACAGAAACTGTGTATCTGGGAGTCATTTTGATATATCGGTCCCAACATAGCATAAACAAAATACTGTTTCAAATGGGAAGAGAAAGAACAGCACTAAAAATGTCTGGTTTTTCCTTTCCTGCTGAGGGCATGCAAAACAATGACCATAGGGAAAAAAAATTACTCTTAATTGGAACCCAAACCATTTAATTAATTTCAAAGTATCAAGAAGTATCTTAAAGTACTTGAGGGTGAAGAATGTCTTTGGCCTTTAACTCAGAGCAGCCAAGTATGTAGTTCATACAGGTTACCAGTGTGTATCAGCAGTCGGCTCCCAGATGCAATCTGAGTCCTCTAGAAGTATGCCATCTTGATCTCCTCTTCTTGCTGTAAATTATTAAATGTTGCAACTTTCAGGGCTAGCGCCCACTGTTAGTGCCCAAGACTGAAGCAGTAGTATGACAAGTCTCAATGTATTCAATTAGTTACACGGAAACAAAAGAAGATCACAGGCATCCTTTTACAGCAAGTAAATTTTACATGGGCATTATTTACAGCCCTAGTGTTCGAAACACTACTGGTGAATTTTTCTCTAAAGACGCATAGCTGTAGCACCCTCTCTTTCCTTCCCTTCCCGCTCATACTTGCCTCCCCGCCATGCTGCAGAGATTTTGAGTCAGGACCTGTGGTTATTTCAGCAGCAACAAAAGGCAGTC